CCGTGGCTTCTCCCACCCGGTGCCCCTACCCCCGCTTCTGCAGCCCCGGACGGGGGAGCCCCCTACCTGGCCGGCCGGCTTGGCGCAGGGGCGGTGCTGAGTCGGCGGAGAGCCCGAGTAGGAATGCGGCAGGTCGCCTTTGCAGTACCCGGCGGGAGCGGCGACCGGCGCCGCGGCAGCATCCGAGAGGCGCTTGGCAAAGTCGCCGCCCTCGCCCCCTCGTCCTACGCCCCTTCAGTGGGACAATCGACTGAGTGAGCCGCTACGGCGGAAATGTCCGTTCCCTACCCCCATTCTCACCGGTTGCCAACAACCTAGAGACGCCGTCCTCTCGCTGGTGCAGGGAGTTCCGGAGGATGCGGGGCGGAAAAGCAAAATGCCACCCTCTCCCGAGGCTCGGAAGCAAATGACGATAAACAGCACTCTCGCCCCCTCCTAACACTTATGGGAGCCCTTGATTCGATCCTGAAGGAGGCGGGCGAGCAAGAGCTTGGATCTACATGGCTCTCGGATCCCCTCCGCTTCCCGCACCCCAGCGTGGACCTCGCTGAGGCTCCGCGGTGCGCGTGGAGCCGTCAGGAGCTCCGAGTGGGGCAGGGTGCGTGCGGCGGCGGGTCCGCTCGGTCCATTTCTGGGCGCTGCAAGATCAGCAGAAACCTGAGAAAGCGCCTGGAATGCGGAGCAGCGATTGGCCCACTCGGGCGTGGGTTGGGGAGGGCGGGGGAGGGCAGGAGCGAGGAGGTAGATGGAAAATATGAGGGGGTGGCTTGGCAGAGGGGGGTTGTCATTCAGTTCCCACCCTTGCCGGAACAGCTTTTTCCTTCTCTTGCCAGAAAAGCCGACCACCAATTCTCCTTCCCTTATGGTGCACAGCCCCGCACATGCACGCTCCCTGGCCGCGACCTTCCCCGGGAATTGCACATTAGAAATGGTCAGGTCCGACGCAATGCAGGCGGCGGTGTTCCTGGCAAAACTCCTCGGATGGGCTTGCGTTTGTGCAGTCCCACGATAATTGGCTTCTGCCGCCATGCTCTGCGTGCCATCCCGGCCCTCCCGCAGGGGTCTCTCTGCAGGGGTGACCCAGCTTGTCTCCGCCTGACGGGCAGAGATGCGCACCTTGGGGAGAGCTCTGCAGTTGAGGCTCACTGTGGGTGTGTTGTATGTGGTGTCACTGCGAGGCGGCGGTGCTAAGAGGCTGTCCCTCCTTGACCTACGATGGGAGTTGAAGTTTTCTTACGATCAGATTATTCTGAAATACGGAGAATGCGATTTGTGGACAACCAAAGGCTTCGTGGGGCTGTGGGGCTGTCTGCCAACTTGATGCTAATTGGGACGAATCTGAGAAGCAAGTCTCCTGCCCACCTCCCACCTACGTCCCTCCTCCCGTAGCCACTTTTCTCGGCCTAGTGCCTCCACAAAGCCACTTGCAAGGCTTGCAACTTCTTCCGGAAAGGGTCCGCGCCGAGGTTCAGGGCAGCACGAGCCGGGGGCGTGCGCGGTGCACTCGGAGTGCGGCTACAGCTGCGCCCCCAGACGTGCTACGCCTCGGCGCCCGCAGCGCGCGAGAAGGCAGCCGGCAGCTCGGGTACTTCAACTGCTACGGAGTCTCCGAGGAGGATGCAAGAACCCGGAGTCACCGCTGATTGGTTCCCCCGCTGCTTTGGGACCACCCTTCCACCACCGAGGATCGCGTTGCCTCCCGCCTACACCAGCCACCACTTTAATCAAAGCCAATGATTGTATCCTCCCCACTCTATTGTGGCTAGTGGAAAGCAGGGGCCTGTGTGGGGTTGCCCAGGCAGTGCACCGATTCTGGGTACGGAACTAGTTAAACCCCTCCTCCAGATTCAGACTCCAGCATTCCTTTCAGAAAAAGAATATTTGTTCCCTCCACTCCTCCGGATTCATACCCTACCCTTTTCTTTTACGAACAATGAGTTCTCCTAAACTCCTCCGAACCATATTAAACACTGCCATTTCCCTACCTTCCACACACAATATTCCTGTACCCTACTAACTCCACGGTTTCCTGCCTTCCTGTGCTACTGCTTTATTACAGGAAGGAAGAGACTGAAGGAGGAAGGGAGGAAGGAAGGAAAGAATGAAGGAAGGAAAAAGGGAAGGAAGGAAGGAGCTGTGTACTGAAATACGACTGGCAAGTCCCCTGTTTCTGCTTTTGCTGCTGCTGCTGTTACATCCACATCAATAATAACCCTACTAGACCTGATGAACATTTCCTGACCATGTCCCAGTAATACTGGGCTTCCTTACTCTGCTTTTGCACCTCCTTCTGCCTGTAACCCCCTTCCTTCTTTTAAAGGCCTCCAAGACTGTCATCTCCCTAGCCTCATGTGGATTGCACTTGCCTTGATTCACCATTTGGAGATTTTCTTAAGAGAAGAGATTTGCAGACTGCATGGGATCTCAGGTCCTGAAATTCAGGGCTTTGTTAGGCATAATAAAATCCAGAGGTTTACACCAAGGAATTGGAAGAATGGTATTGAGCTAAGAATTCAACATTCTGGATGCAAGCCCACCATTGATAGGGGTCTAAAGATATGTATTCGCTCAAACATTTGCTCAGTCTCAGCTGTGTGTCAGTCTTGCTCAGCACTGCAGACACAGTAATGACTAAGATATGCAAGGTTCCAGACCTCACAGAACTTACATTCTGGTGGGAGAGACAGACATTATAATGTTAGGTAAAGCAAATTAAGAAAAGGGTATATGGAGGGACAAATATAAGTCTGAATGGATAGGAAGGGCCTTTGCATAAGTAACAGTTAAACAAAGAAATTCAAGGAGAGAACAGGGGCTCCTGGGTGGCTCAGTGGGTTAAGGGTCCAGCTTCAGCTCAGGTCATGATCTCGCGGTTCATGAGTTTGAGCCCTGCCTTGGGCTCTGTGCTGACAGCTCAGAGCCTGGAGCCTGCTTCAGATTCTGTGTCTCCTTCTCTCTCTGCCCCTCCCCTGCTCCCATTCTGTCTCTCTCTCTCTGTCTCACAAAAATAAATAAACATTAAAATTTTTTAGAAAAAGAAGAGAGAGAACAGGGAATCAGAAAAACAGAAGCATAGATGTAAGAGCAAATGCAAAGATCCCAAGGCAGAGACAAGTTAGCATATTTGGGAAACAAAGGAGCACCAGTGTGGCAAGAAAGAAGTAGCCAAAGAAGGGTGTTGCAGAAGGTAGGTCAGAAAAGTAGGGAGGGACCAAATCATGTAGAGCCTCTTAAGCCACTGTAAGAATATTTCATTTAGTAATATAATATGTTCCATGTAGTAATATAATATGATTTGCCATTTTAAAGATTATTCTGGTTACTGGAAACAGGCATGAGGTTGGAAGTTATTAAGTAGTACAGGCAATGATGGCTTAAACAAGCAAGGTACTGGTAGGCTTGTGAGAAGTGGTTGGAATAGAATTACATTTTGAAAATAGAGATGGCAGGATTTGGGATGTGGGGGAAAGAAACATTTCAAGAACGTCTCCTAGGTTTGTAGCCTTAGTAACTAGGTGGATGGTGATGTAATTTACTGGAGGAGTGAATTGGACAGCTTCTCTCTCACCAGAATGTGAGCTACACAAAGTCTTGGACCTTGTGTATCTTGGTTGTTACTGTATTGGACAGTAATAACCTCAGATTCAGTAAGCCTCTCCTCAGATTCCCTCCACTTTTCCATTCCTTTTGCCCTGAGGCCACTTGCCTTGCTTTGGCTGCTGCTGGAACACACAACTCTGCATGGGCAGCAGATTTCTGCCTCCTGAGGTTGACCACACTGCAATGATTTGGATTTCTCAAGACTGGAAGAAGGTCCAGGTGAGCAGCACAGCTATTTGGAGGCATTAATTAAATGGACCAGTGAGAGCTTGCCCAGTAGTAGATATGAGATAAGATGAAGCCTATAGATAAATTTCCTCTCCTTTAATCT